TTTTTATAAGTCCTTGTTAATTTTTTTTTAATTAAGTTCTTTGTCGTCAATTTGTAGAAATTTCCAGTTTTGTCAGACTTCACCGGTGTTTCATCAGATTCGCTGATGCATTTAATTACTTGGTCCAGATGTTTTTGGGAGTTGCTTTTCTTTTTTTGAAAGGAGATGTGGTTAAATATATTGAGTAAGTCAATTTAAAATTCAAATAACTTTTTGTTAAATGGTGCTGCTTTTTTTTTTTACTTTTAAAGCCATAAACTTCATGTTCTTTAGCTGAGTTATTCGCTCGAAGGAAGAAAAATGCCTTCCATCTCATCCTTCTTATTAATTCCTCTGTTTTTGCATAAGTTTTACGAAATAATTCCGTTTACACACACACACACACACATACATATATATATATATATATATATATATATATATATATATATATTTATATATATATATATATATATATATATATATATATATATATATATATATATATATATATATATATATATATATATATATATATATATATATATTTATATATATATATATATATATATATACACATATATGCACGTCACTTTCCCTGTGTCATAATAAAAGAAACGTGATAAAAATATAAGAGTTCAAAAACATACCTGAATATCTAGTAAAGCGCCGTCATATTTGATGTTAATAAAAGTTGTTTTATCTTTGTCAGGATAGCTTTTAATACAAATGAGAAAACCACTTTGGTTTATATGTGCCACATGTGAGCCTTTTCTATTCGCGTATTGTCCAATGGTATCAAATATCTCCCAAATAATCCAAAATGCTTTCGACCTATGTTTTAACACTTAGAAACATTTTTTTATAATTCTCAATATCATGTTTCAATGCCGTATTATTATCTTGAATTTTTATTGGATGAAGCAGTGTCAAATATGGTTGACACTGGTTCAGTTTGTATCAGTTCGGCTTCTTTCATCTTGATTTTAGTTGCTGACGGTCGGAATAGTTGCGATAAAAAAGCAATTAAAATTTGAATGAATGACATTTAAACAAAAATTAATAAGTTAAATGTTTTCAGTTTTCTGATTTATTCAGCAGATGTTGTTAAGAATTCGAATGCATATGTTATAAAAAATGTGGTATAACGTTCTTAATATCCCATGTGTAATTCGTGGGATACTTTTTTAATATTTGCAGATTTCTTAAAATTTGAACTCAGAAAAATGGAAGACATTTTCTGATATATAGAATTTATATTACTGGGTTGGCCAAAAACTTCATTTGCTTATTGAGTAGAAAATTTACTTGATAACTTGAACGAACTTTTTGGCCAACCCAATACTTCATTCACATATTTAAGTAGACGACCCATTTTCTAAACGGCGTGCGTATTACGTCTACCGGCCAGCGAACTCGAGAAAAATAGATTAAATGTGCCCTCCGGCATGGTTCGAACTTGCATCCTCTTTAGTAAGAGATACTGCCGTCTTATCAGGTGTGATTTAGACTCTCCATGGAGAGCATGACAAATCAACAAGCTTCTATATATCCTTTTAATGAATGTACACTCCCTTGTTAAGACTTTGTATACCATATTCACGCAATTCTAGTTAAATGTGCTGAAAAATGATTTAAAATCTTATTATTATAGTTTTATTTCCTTTGATTTCTGGTGTATATTCATTTCTTTCCGGGTTCCAACCAGAGACTTAAGACCAGAAATCCCATCATGACATTTTGCACTGAGCAGTTTTGAAAAACATATTGGCTTCATGAGATTTTCCATTTTTTTTTAAACCCTAAAATCACACACAGTTTACATAGGTAATGCTCTTTATAAGGTGTGAGCTGTACTTGTGAGTACAATTTAAATTTTTTTTTAAGGCTTTGGCTACCAGCCATGCTTCAATGGATCTATCGAAACTTTTTCCAATCAAACCAATAGCTCCAACTAGAACTGGAATTATTGATGCCTTTATATGCCATGTATCTGTGATTTCCATTCTTCTTCTTCTTCTTCTTCTTCTTCTTCTTCTTCAAAATGGCGCTGGATTAAAAATATACGAAACTCAATATTCATATCATGATGGCAAGTCTAATAAGCGTATACCGGGCATCACAGCCAAATATGCATAATATGGTTGCAGTTTTTTGAGAAAAGCAGTGCATAACCTTGCAGGTGGGGCCCAGGTAGATGTAATTTCAAAATAAGTAACTTAGTCTGCTCAAACGGGCTCCGATTGAAAGTTTTTCCAAGCATCTCTACGCGGACGACACTACAATTTACTCCTGCCTCAAAAACAAATCTAGTGTCGCTGACAAAACTAACCTGGCCGTTCGTCTCGAAAAGGACCTCCAATAAGATTGTGAACTGGGGCAGGATTTGGCTGGTTAACTTTAACGCCTCAAAAACAAAACTGCTCTCTATTAATCACCATAGAGATCCTTCCCTGCCCCCCACCATTAGAATGTCTGACGCTCAACTTCTCGAGAGCACCACTCTGCGGCTGCTCGCTCTCACGTTGACTGCTGACCTGAGATGGATCAAATACATTGAGTCAATTGCTTTGTCCATCGCAAGGAAAGTTGGCTCCCTGTGCCGTGCCAGGAATTTTTTCTCCCCGGAATCGATCTTCAGATCTACAAATCAACCATTCGCCCTTGCATGGCGTATTGCTGCCACATATGGTCTGGAGCCCCTTCTGTTTGCCTCGGGGTTCTTGATAAGATCCAGAGATGGATATGCAATATAATTGGCCCCGATCTGGCATCTCGTCTGCAGTCGCTCGCTCAAAGATGCGCCGTCGCCTCCCTCTGTCTTTTTTTTTTTTACAAATACTTTCATGGCAATTGCTCCGATGAGCTGCTTGCGCTGGTTCCCAGACTTCATGAATTCAAGCGTCCTACGAGGCTGGCATCCGGCTCTCACCCTTTCACTGTTGAAACTGTTAAATGTAGCTGTCTCTTCTACTCTAATGGTATTTATCAATCCACCCACGGGGATCGAATGTGGCACAAGGCCTTTTTAATGTGGGTATCTCTGAGCCCGTAGGCCCAGCCAAAAATAAATAACTATCCAAACCCGCCGAGGCGGGCCAGTTCCGTCAACCTCCCCCAACGAAACCCTACCCTTCGGCGGAGCTTCGTCCGGGTTCCTCTCTGCAAGCAGACAGTTCGACAGACACCCGACCCGGCAGCTCACAAAACGCAGATATTACACTTTGATCCTAGCCACCGGGCCGAGCTATAATCTCCAACTATTCAAATGTAATGTCAATCGACATCTCCAGTTGCCTTGAATCTATCCACTATTCTTCTCCTCATCCTTTCCTCTATCACTCCTATCTGCTCTCGCCCTATTCTTCTGTAATCCCTTGCGTACTAGTGGCTTCCCGCCTTGCTTGGGGTGAATCGATTAAAAAAGATCTCGACGTAACTTGCAAATGGCCTTGGCTACCTCATTCTTCAAACTTTAAGCAAATGTAACTCTCTCGGTGAGGCACGGTGGAGTAATAGATAGCGGCTCGGATTGAGGAATCGGAGAGCCGAGTTCGAATTCCAGTTAAATCCATTACATTCACTTACGTGCTAATACCCTAGTAAAGGTATGACTCCTCTTCAGCTATGGGTAAATAGCAGGTTCTATAGCCTTGGATGGCAACTGGTCTACCGCAGAATGTAATGGCAACCACCGCAGGGAAAAAATTGCCTCGTCAGTCATGTATCACGTATGGCACATAACTGACTGAATCGGCCATGATGGTCGCCCATTAATCCCGCTCGTGAACAGAGATGCAATTATTATTATTATTTGTAGCAACAAAATTCAAAAGAAAATTGGTTCCACATAACTTTGCGGAGAAAGATATTTGTCAGTATTTAACACATGTCTTTCTTTTCTTTCACGAATTCATTGATCTGAATTGCGAGTCGAGAGAGACGGCGTACATCTGGTAAAGACCAAACTCAAGCAGTAACTGTCTACGATACTGGCTTCTTAATTATTTCTCTATGGTGAGAAGCCCTGAGTATTTTAACAAGGCTTAGTTTAATTTATTTACGGGATTAAAATTAGTAGCTGGGCGCTCATTGAAGAGCGACTCAAGTGAGTATTAATGGCACCGAATGCATGTGAATGAACTTCGACTAACTAGAGCAGCAGTCCCCACTCACCGGGCCGTGGACTATTTGGTACCGGGCCGCACAAAAAGAATAAACACATTTTTTTCCCATTTTATTGACTATCGCGGTCATGGTGTTCTGTAATACGCATGACCGACACTAACCGCTAACCCCCACCCGTGGAAAAATTGTCTTGCATGACCCGCGGTTAGTCGGTCAAAAAAGTTTTAGGACCGTTAAGGTGGAGGAGAAGTAAACATGAGGCAAACGCTTTAGTTCGTAATTGATCTTATAAACGAATGCAAAGATTAATAGACAATTTCAGCGAATAGAAGCAACATTGCTGTGATGGCCGATAGGTTAAGGCGTTGGGATCTATACTCAATAAAGATTCCCTTACAGACCAGAATCTTTTTCAAGGCGGTAATGTCTGGTTTCTCTAAAGACAACATCGATTTTTTCTTTTTACTAAAAGATCACAATTTGATAATTCTCTTGTTTTGATTGACTACGACTTATCAACACTTTGGAGGTTATTTAAAGAAAATATTTTTAGAATATTTTTTTTGGCGGGCGGGGGAGACAATAATGTTTTAATAATACAAGTCTTACTAATTAACCCATAGCTGGCGGGGAGAAAAAGTGGACCCATCGTATTTGTTTAGCGGGTTATTTATGCTGATAGAAATAATTTGCACGCAATTTTATTTATTTATATCATAATGGTTTTAATGGTACACGTCTTACTAATTAATCCGTAGAGAAGAGCTGGATTCATGTCTTTTCCCAGGGGTAATTGCGGGTTAGTGAATATAAAGATACCAATAGGAATTAGAACTCGACTCTCCGATTAACAGTTCCGAGCCATTATCCATTGCACCACCCGCAAATACAAGCTTACAGCACGTGGTATTCCAAAGCGGTCACCCAGCTAGGTACTGACCGGGCTCGAGGTTGCTGAACTTTGGCGATTGTACGGGAACGGGTGTTTCAATCTGATGTGGCCGTAAGTTAAATATTAACTACAAAAATAATCTATTATTTATGCATCAAATTGGAAATTGTTATTCTTGTAGGTTTGCAATGGGCTTTTAAAGTTCAAATATTACTATACCTTTTCGCGAATTATAAATATATAAACTTTTAAAAATTATGTATTGTATATTCACTAACGTAACAAAAGATTTTTTCTGGCCTGGTAATGTCCGGCACACGACGTTGCATTAATTCCGCAAGTGTTTGTCCGACGTCTGTAGAAACATTGAGTAAAGCTTTGTCTATAACGTTTTTTTTTATTTTACAGTGAGATTCACCCAGTACAAGGCCCGGAGGGAACTCGAGGTAGAGGGTTGCATTGAAGCGGTTTATAGATCTTAGACTTGAACAGGTTAGGAATGTAATGATCTGGATTTGGTTTGGTTTGTTTTACGGCATATTAACCTCTATGGGTTATTTAATGAGACAAGATTTCTATTGGTGGTAATATTTTCTTTTTAAAACATGTATTGCTGGTAATAACGTTTTACAAAAACTTATTGCTGATATTAAAACCTATTTTCCACTTTCATAGCATTTTGACCCCAGTTTGTGCGTCAACTATTTGCCCATAGAATTTTTAGTTTTTGCTTATTGTTTTCATGTTTAAGTATAGTTGTGTTTTCAATAAGGATTTTCCGGAATTATGTATGCGGCCAGGCATGTTGTTTTAATTAGGCATTTAAAACAACATGCCTATGAAATCTCCACAAATATTCTTAAATGCTTATAATTGGTAACAGAAGCCATTGGTTTATACCAACGGCTTCCCATACTTAATACTTCTCGTTTTCACTCTCGCGTGGTCACTGTGACGTCATGTGTTGCGGTGCGATTTTCGCTTCCAGTGTCTTGTATGCACGAGTTTGTCGTTGCTTGGAAATCTTCCATGTAAACAGAAACACTCATAAAATAAATAGACAACACTTGTCTATATTATTTAATGAAATATGCATCAATATATATATATATATATATATATATATATATATATATATATATATATATATGTGTGTGTGTGTGTATGTGTCTGCGTTAATATTTATATATATTAAATTAGCATCTCTAACATAACTGTATGGATCTCATAAAAACTTTTCCGTCGATAATTTATAACGCAGTTCGATTAAATAAATCGTAATAAGTCGTAAAAAGTATATAAGGATTCACATATGTCTGAAGAGACAAAAAATGTTCACGGATATTTAGTTAATTGTTAATAAAAATAGATCACGCTGTGAACAGGATTCGAACCTGTGCGGGAAAATCCCATTGGATTTCGAGTCCAACGCCTTAACCACTCGGCCATCACAGCTAGGACACTTACTTGGTTTAATATTTTATAATAATGTTTATAAAGTTTCTGTAACCATTTATGAATTGAAATGATTTGTTTATTATTGTGCTTAATTTGCTTCCAGTTCATATTAACGCCATTATTATTTGTAAGTCATTGCTCTATAACTGCCTCTCAACAATTTAAACTTTGTGCCAAAATAAGCCTTGTAAATATCTCAGAGCTCCAGACCATGGAGAAATAGGAAGCTAGGACCGCAGATCATTACTACTGTAGTGAGTTCGGTCTTTACCAAATATACTCCACGAAGTCGAATATTTAGAAGAAAGAAATATTCATTTTTTTTCTCTTTCAATTGAACAATATTGAGTAAACGCCCAAAGAAGGAATATGAATCAATTTTATAAAAGTTAATAATAGGCCAAGTTTGCTATGGAAACTTATTGTAAATTGATCATAACCCCTTTCGGAAGCCAAAACAACATATGTCCATATCACGTGATTTTTTAAAATTAAAAAAAATAATTTTGTTTGATATATCGTGACTTGGAATGAATCGATAATAATATATGAAAAAAAAAGCAATCCAGATGAATAAAAAATTTCATTTTTTTTTAAATTTCAAAAAATCAAGTGGAATGCGCATATTTTTTTTGACTTCTGTAAGATGATCAATTTCCAATGATTTTTTTAGCAAAATGATCCTATTATTGACTTTTATAAAATTCAATAAAATTTTAATTTTTGATATTTGTGAGCTGGAGTGCTTAGTCTATCAGTTAAGTGACATACGTGATACACGCTGGGGCGATTATGCCTCTCCACAATTTCCTCACCTAAATCACTATTGACTCTTTCGGTTCTAGTGCTATACATGAAATACGCTTGGGCGATCATGTCTTTCATTTTATGACTGACTAGGGAGAAGATTTTCTCGCAATATGTTGCCGTTTCTTTCCGCGCTAGACTGGTTGTCAGCAGAGGCTATAAGACCCAGTTTATACGGCTATTTAACTCATAGCTGGAAGGAGAAAAGATGGATATATATATATATATATATATATATATACCCTTCCTAAGGGTATTTGTGCGCAAGTGAATGTAACGAATTCAACTAGCACTCGAATCGGCCCTCCAGTCGGGTTCATGATATTCACTTATTTTATAGTAATATGAAATATATATATATACTAGCAGCATGGCCCGGCGTTGCCCGTGCTTGATTCAAAAATCGTACGACTCATACAGCAATCGCTATCACTTGACTTAAAATATTTTTGCCCTTCCTTGCCTTTTAAGGAGTGCCCTTTGCCGTGCTGATGTTGCTACATGCCTTAATTCTTGCCTATCTCACACTGCGAATTTTTTCGAAGCTCTATACTAAACATTAAATCTGTTACGAAAAAAAGAACTAAACAAAATGAACACAAAACGATCAGCTTTAAAAAAGGACTCGTAACTGGAAAAACCGAATGAAAAAAGAATGTTAACAACAAATACTTTTTCACACCCAACCCAGTTCTGCGGAATCAGAATCAACGTTGAGTTTAAGCAAGCGAATGAGCCAATTGGAGTAAAGTGCCATGCAGATTTAAATTTTTCCCACTTGTGACGAATGCAGCTAACTGCTCATGGCGTATCAAATGTAAACAAATGACGTCATACATTAAGAATTGGACAAAGTCCGACAATTTATTAAAGACATTTTTATGTTTAACATTCTTTTTTATAGTTATGAATGTACGAGATTCATGGAAGATTGAAGTTTATAAGCAGTAAATTCGACCTTGCCTACCGGACGCTCCTTTGTGGCCGAGTCGGTTAAGGCACGTCAGCGTAAATGACGGTTCTGTATAGGTTCGAATCCTGTCAAAGGACAAATATTTTCTATGAAAATTTCTCGGACATTCAGGCCGGTAAATGTTATTTAATACTGTTTATTATAAAACAGAGCATTTACTTAAATACTTGTATCTATAAAAAAGAATGTTAAACATAAAAATGTCTTTAATAAATTGTCGGACTTTGTCCAATTCTTAATATATATACATATATATATATATATCACAAACTCACATCTATCCAACCAAATATGTTAGCTCTATCTCTGATATTGAGCGCTTTCTAATAAATACCGAGCATATAATATATAAATAATTATATATATATATATTTATTTATATACACACACACGCATATATATATAAAATTAATTTTTATAGATGGAAAATCATTCTTGAAGCTTTTATTTTAGTTTTAATTTCAAGCTAATAGATTAAATTTAATATTTCCAATATGCAAAATACTTTGCTGTATTTCAAAAACTAATTTACATTGATTTGAAGGATTTTTTTTTTCAGTCGTCTTTCATTGCAATGTAATTCTTTTTTAAAAATTCTTCTAAAAATGAAAATAAATTTCTGAAATTTTATTTGAAGCCGATTTAAAGTATAATTAATCTGATTTGAAACAAATATTATTTACTTTAAGTTTAAAATATCGCAGAAATGTATTTTTAACTCGACAGTAGTTGTTTTGAATACGATCCAAATAAACTTTCTGAATGCTTTCGAAATCCATAGTGCATAATAATATGACGAAAGTGCAATATTCCATCCGCAATATTTAAGACATTCATTTGTGGACGAAACGTCAACATTCATCGAAATCTGACGAAACGTCAACATTCATCGAAGTCTGACGAAACGTCAACATTCATCGAAGTCTGACTCGCAATTGAACAGAAATCGACACCAAAACAAAAAATCTGTGTCAAGTTGTAGTCAATGATAATGAAAATCGGACATAAAATTTTGCAATGAAGTAATAGAATGAGTTACGATTTTGTTAGGTGTTTCTGACCGCAAATAAATAGAGGAGTAATGGATAACGGCTTGTATTGAGGAATCGGAGAGCCGAGTTCGAATTCCAGTCGAATCCATTACATTCACTTACGTGCTAATACCCTTGGGAAAGGTATGAATCCTCTTCTTTTCCTAATAGCTAAGGGTAAATAGCAAGACAGGTAGGGTTCTATAGACTTGGATAGCAATTGGTCTACCGCAGAAAGAAATGGCAACCTACTGCGGGAAAAATCTGCCTTATCGGTCATGTATCGAAAGATACATGATCACCTAAGTGCGTATCGCACATGGCACATAACTGATTGACAATATTATTTATCCGTGATATCTTTATATATATATATATATATATATATATATATATATATAAAATACATGTCTATATTTTCTGTTCGCTAATTACCCCTATTTTAGTTGCTGTGCACACTCAGTTTAGTCTGCAATGGAAGTCTGTATAGAGAGGGACAAACATCAATCATCTGTTTGTTTCGTTGTTTTCAATTTAACGCCAATGAAACGCTACGATTGAAAATATTTGTTTTAATATCTATATCTGTTTTAATATCTATTATAGTTGTGTATCCCAAGAAAATTTTGAGTTGATCAAAAACTTCGTTTCCTTATAAAGTAGAATATTTACTTAATAAACCGAACTTACTTTTTGGATAACTCAATATTTAAATAAATAAAGAAAAAGAAAAGAAAAAACAAGATGACAATTAAAAAAATGTCCCGGAAAATACCAAATTGCCTTGCTTCTGCGTAAATTAAGTGCATACGTATTGGAATGAGTAAAAGGCTTCGTGTAATTAAG